TTTTGTATATGTTACGTACCATAATAATTTTTTCTAAATTTTTTTTCATAACATCAAAACCAATAATTAATATTAGTGGCAGGACGATTTGAATTGGAATAATGACAAAGTGATCGCCAAAATTTTCTAAACCTCCTTAATCTTATTTTGACTTACACATAGGTGCATATATAGACCTATATTATATGAGTGTTAAAAAATAATAAATGTATGTACACAAAAATGCAGTCGTAGCCCAGCGGTAACGCACTCGCTTAGGAAAACGAATGAAGCGGGTTCAAATCTCGGGTATCACACCACTAATATTCTCAAATACGAACCATTTCCAATATGATTACCACTTGTTTTACGGTGAATATCGTGTTGAAACCTGCATGCTTGAAAAAACCTAGCAAGTTTTCGAAAGACATGTGAAATCCGCTAACCCGCACTTGGCCAGCGTGGTGAACTATGGCCTGATCCACCTCATATTGAAGAGGCCCGAGCACAGCAGTGGGATGATAAAAAAGGACTGTATACATACTTATATGTACACTAGCATTGCCCGCGGCTCCGCCCGCGTTCAGATGACCAAAAATCAAATTCTTAGGTTTTACCTATTAGTATATTCTTACATTGCAGTTTTTGTATTTGTTTTCAGAAATGAGATATTTTCCCGCGATAAAAAGTATCCCATATGTTGACCCGGATAACCAGCTATCACCATACAAAATTTCATTAAAATCCCTCCAGTGGTTTATCTGTGATGCGGAACAGATAGACAGACAGACCGACAGACAAAAATTCTAAAAACCATAGATTCGGTCTCTGTATCGATAATAATGTTTATTTCAATAATATTTTTCAAAAAATATTTAATGTACAGATTCGGCTTAGTTACAATTTTATTATATGTATAGATTACATATATTAAGTTGCGATGAATTGTGTACCTCCATTTTGAAATTGCTCAATAAAATAGGCCCAACAGACTGTTTCATATTTAACTATAGATAACTTCTATAAACTTAAAATTAGCTACTAAACGAAAATGCTCAGTTCATTTAAATTTAACGATCCAATTATATTAAGGGCTTCGCTTCGTTTTAACTTTTTTTATTATTTAAATAAAAATGTATGCACGTCCATAAATTTAATTTTACACGTGGTAATAATTGCTTTGAGTGCCTACTGTACTTATTATTTTTACTGTAATAAATTATTCCTGTTTATTATATATTACTTACTTAACAGTACCCGCGGCTTCGCCCACGTTCAAACTTCCGATCGCTATCAAACTTCACAGGATCACCCGCTGGCGAAAACTTGCTAGGTTCTCTCAGACACGCAGGTTTCCTCACGATGTTTTCCTTCACCGTAAGGCAAGGCAGTTTTGTATATATAGAAATTAATATATCAGTCAATGTTAGAGTGACAACTATTATAATATTATATCAATTGCCATAAACTACGTAAAATATATATATACCACTGTTCAAAAACACTTCAATTTCTCAAATTCAAACATAAATCTAAATAAATAAATACAAATATGTTGGGACATTACACACAGCACCATCTAGTTCCATGGTAAGCTACGAGGCCTGTGTTATGGATACCAGATAGTTGATACACTACACATATATAACTTTATATACATACATATTATAAATATAAACAACCATGACTGGAGTACAAACATTCGTCATCAAACAAATGAATGCCCCCATCGGGACTCGAACCCGCGACCGCTGGCAACAGCAAGTAGGGTCACTACAAACTGAGCCAAACGTGTCGTCAAAACATACTTCAATATATTTTAATTCTAGAGAAAGACTTGCTTAAACAAACAAAGCGAACACATTAAAAAGTCTGTTCATCTTTATAATATTAGTATAGATTATCTCTTATTGTAAAATTTAACTATAGACTCTTCTTTCGTTGCATTAACTTCAATAAGCTAAATATAGTACAAAAGCTCTTTAAATTATTTCTATAATGAATAAAAATGCTTTACAACAAGAACAAAATGCCGGCACGCGGTGTTAGTTAAAAAGATAAAGTCTCTAGATAGCTCGCGTTTAAATTTATTTAAACTATACAAATATTTGAATATCTCGTTATCGATTCAGATAAAACATGTTATAGTACTATCGTGTCGAAAATATGTACGTATTATTCTAAAAATATTTTTTTTTTGTAATACGCGATAATATTTTTTTTTTTTACATAATAATTTTTTGAAGTTACTTCGTTTGAAAAAAAGTGTGTATTCAGTCCTTTTTATCGTCCCTCTGCTGGGCACGGGCCTCCCTTCAGTACGAGGGGAATCAGACCATAGTCCACCACGCTGGCCAAGTACGAATTGGCGAACTTTACATGTCTTTCGAAAACTTGCTAAGTTCTCTCAGACATGCAGGTTTCCTCTCGATGTTTTCCTTCGCCGTAAGGCAAGTGGTAATCATGTTAGAAATGATTCGCACATGAAAATATCAGACGTGCGAGACCCGAGATTTGAACCCGCTTCACTCGGTTTCCCAAGCGATCGCGTTACCACTGGGCTACCACTGCCTTGGAGAAAAGTATAAGAGTAAAATTTTTACGATGCGCGCACACACCGAAAAACAGCCAAAAAGCGACATGATGAAGTTAGCTGATAAATGTTTGTTGCCATGGTAACCATTGTTATTGTCTGACAAATTATATATAATATTATATTTATTTAAATGATATTCTAAATATAAGATTGTAATATGCCTAATATGCCTTATTTAATTATTGATTTGTTTTAATTTAATTGCGATATTTGCCAAAGAAGTTTTACTTCCTTTACGCGTGGTTAAAAAAAGGTTACACGCACCCTTTTTTTATGAAGTAGCTCAATTTTATTACTTTTTTAAATAAAATGTTACAATATCTTTAAAATCAATTTAAGTAGTAGAAAATGTTTTTTTTTTTCAAAATTCAAGTCAAGGAACACTAAGTTACATCCATTAATTAAAAAATTATGATTTTATTTACTCTAAGAGGTGATTTAAATAGAAATATTATATCAATTAAAAATCATTAAAATTACTAAACCATAAGAAATGACATCATGTAAAAATTACATAAAAACAGTAGATATGAAAACCTGAGTCTCACCCGTGACCCTGATCGCTGTAAAGCATTCGAAACGTCGGGAACCAAAAATCAAAATAAATCCGCGAAATAATCCAAAAAGATAGTTTTATTTAAAAAGCTACCTACGTTGATAAAAAGTAATCTAAAAACTCTAAGAAACTCCAAAAAAATTTAGTTACACATACTTTAATACTGTCTGTAGCCTGAAGCTGCATTTTTCGCAAAGTTAAAGTCTAATTTTTAAAAGTTTCGTAATTTAAACATACGAGCGCCACTGTACTAGGTTTGCACCGAACCCTTAATGGAGTTTCCTCGTCGCCGGAATGCTTCGAGCCATCTAACTTTAGTTAGGACTTAAAACAAGCGTTTTAATTTGATACATGAGTTTTGGTCGCAATTTTGTAGACACTTTTCTATTTAGTTTTGAGTTTATATTTATATTATACTATTAATTTAAATTAAATAAAATTAAATAAGTTCATATTTTTGACAAATTTCAAAGAAGGACTTCCAAGTTCTCGTAATTCGGCTATATATATATTTTATATGTATGCTCATGTCATGTTCTTGAGATATTTGCCATTCATAATAAAAAAAATTTAATGAAAAGTTACAATACTTCATGGATAGTTCCATACAAATTTTGAAAATAATTATCTTAAGAGATTTTGAAGCCGATGTACCTCTTTTATTATTATTAAATAATGTTTAAACTTTACTAATATTTTTCCGAGAAACATTTGTCGATCTAATAAAAAAGTTATCTATATCACATTCCGATACATACCTATGTAGATTTTTTGTACACAGAAAAAAAATCAATATGCTTTTTTGCTGCTAAACACAAACATTTATAATTTTAGTACTCGTTAATGGCAACACTATTAATATTTTTTTTTTTCCAATCAATAATAATTAAGTCCAAAATATTTAATAAAAACACCCAATAAAAAAAAAGATAAGTAAGAACTTCTCAATGACTAATTAGAGCTTTTTTATAGCTAATTATTCGTTTATGTACTACTATTCGTTATATTTACGTGTGAGCTATGTTATTGTAAAGTTTAATTAAAATTTGCTTAGTAATAAAAATCCATTTTTTTAATGTTGGGAAATGCATTTTCGCATACCACCTATAGATGTAAAGGTGGTTATGGTAGTGGGGAATCCATACATCCATCCTAACAAACTTTTGCCTTAATAATATTAGTAGAATAAGTATGGTAAAATATTAAACCTCATCTTTAACATAATAAATATAATAAAACATAATAATATAAGATATTTTACATTCTAGATTTCCAAGCCATTCTAATTACCTTATACCTACCTACATTAGCAATTCCTTGAGTTTCTATTAAGCTTTTATTATAATGTCCCACATTCACGTGTTATTAAATACGAGCTGGCATGTTATAAAATAATTTAATTTACTATGTTAATAACAAGGTATTTTATATTAATAATGTATACTTAAGATGTATGTATGTACATATAATAATAAAATTTTGATGAGGTCAGATTAAATATTTTTGAAGAATTTATTTATAAGTATATATAAGCCAAATTTTATTATTATTTGGGATGTGACGATGCACAGCATCTGTGAGAGGGCGCTGTATACTTCCCTTTTATTAGCCAATCACTTACGACTTCCTCTTGATATTTTCGACCAATCAACGCCTTGCTTAAAATCACGTGGTCCCAGGTGGCAGGGCGCCAAAGGCGAACGTTCTTACCTCATAGCGTCGTTATTTCCCGATCGAGTAACATCGTTTCTTAATAAGTGATAAAAAGTGAAAAATAGGAAAAAATTATTTCAAATAAGAGTGAAAAAGTGTCTTTGAGTTTAGTTTTAAAGCATTATCATATCTAAATAGTGTTAAAATAAGTGAGTGATGAGTGATCATAATCAGTGCAGTGGCGTAAGCTTTGATCAGGATAATCCTGACGAAATGGAGGTAGGCATGCAAATGCCTTCATCTGGTCGAAAGCGCCTGCATTCGAGCGGAAGTTCGAGTTCCTCTCAATCTGACTCATCCGATTTAGAGGTAAAAAGGCGGAGAACGGGTGAGTCAGCTTCAGACATTAATAATCTTGTCAATCAAGTATCTATTTTGACTAATATTTTAATGCAAAATATGTGTGCATCGAATGTTACTGCTAACAAAAGTGTAACGGCAATAAGTGACGGTCAATCGAGTAGGCTACCCGTATCAGAGCCAACACCGGGGCCTAGCACGTCATGTTTAAATTTTAATTTAACACGGCCTGCGGCCGTTCATGAGAGCTTCGTTAATAACATTCCCCGTTTAAATTTGGGTGTTGTCAATACATCCTCTAAGGAACCTAAAGTACCTAAAGCTAATCCGGAACATTTGCACCGGCTTGAGGTTTTACAAAGATTCGGTGATACAGCTTGGAAAGATGTTCGGTATAATGATGTGTTAAAAATCCATAACGCCGCGCCTGGCTTCGTTGAGCTACAAATTAATGATGATCTCAGGCAATTTATTAAAGGCAAAGATTACGTAGCAAGTTCTGAAAGATTAATAGCTGCTTTATGCAACGCATTGATCTCTCAGCGAGAGGTTCTCAATCATTGTTTGCAGCAATTTATTGACTGGACAGCTTTACCTGACAGTACGCTGTCGCCTTCAAATATTTACGATAAAATATCTGAGTGTTTCCTACCCTCATCTAAATTTCATAAAATTAGTGAGGAGATTATGCAATTAGTGTGCGGGAAACGGGCGGAATATATTGAAACTCGTAGGGAGCGTATCCTTAGTGAGATTTCAAACAAGAATTTGCGTGAGGGTCTGCGTAAGATTCCTCCGAGTTCTAGCTTTTTATTTGACGAAACTCTACTGCGGTCCTATATTCAGAATACGGGTGGATCAGATAAATGGCTTCAACCTTGGTTTTCTTCTGAGAAGAGCCAGGCTGTCAATAGTCGTAAAGTGCCTAGCAAGCCAGTTCAGCACAATTTTCGAGACTTATCAAATCAGCCCTTTCGTCAAAAAGCTAGCGAGTCAAGTTATCGGAAAAACCATAGCACAAGCTCATTCAAGCAGAACACTAAGAGCAAGAAATCCCAAGGTAAAGTCAATAGACGAACCAAGGGGCAACCTGATAAATGACTCGCAACCAATTCGCCAAACATTTTACGGGGGCTGTCTCAGAGCGTATCTCAGACAGTGGCAGATGCTTCGGGCTCCGAAAGCCCTTCTCGAATTGATTACGGGAATGCGTCTGCCATTTACCTCCAAGCCACCACTCATTCTTCCTTCAATAAGAATGATGAAGCGGTTCGAGACCGCTCATACGCCAGAAATGTCAATTCAGATCAAGCAGCTATTACAACAAGGCGTTCTAGAAGTTGTGAAGCCACAGGATGTGGGTCCAAGTTTTCTTTCTACAATGTTCTTGACAAAAAAGAGCAATGGATCCGAAAGGCCAATATTCAATTTAAAGCGACTGAATTGTTTTATAATTCCGAAAACCTTCAAACTGATATCTCATTTTCAAGTTCCTCACTTCCTACAAAGGGAAGACTGGATGGTGAAATTGGACCTGTCCTCAGCTTATTTCCATGTGAACGTCACAAGGAGTCATCGGCGGTTTCTGAGGCTTGTTTACGACAACGTGATTATGCAAATGACATGCCTCCCGTTCGGGCTGTCATGTGCGCCCAAGGTCTTCTCAGCTCTAACGAACTGGGTAGCACAGTACCTGCGATCCAAGGGCATGCGAGTCATAGTTTACTTGGACGATTTTCTAATCGCATGTCAGTCGAAAAGTCAACTTCAAAGCCATGTAAGATCGGCAATAAGTGTTTTGGAGAACTTAGGATGGACAATAAACTACGAGAAATCCGAAATCGAGCCAGTTCAAAAAATAGAATATTTAGGGTTAGTCTGGGACACCAAAGCCAACTACAAAAGCTTACCAACCAAAAAGATCCAGAAGTTATTACTGATATTGAAGAGGACAGTACGGAGACTGAAAATGTCATTAAAGGAGGCTCAAATAATATTAGGAACTCTAAACTTTGCCTGTTTCGTTGTACCAAGAGGTCGTCTTCATTGCCGTCAACTTCAAATACATTTACGAAATCTGATGCACCTTCCATCCAACCGCAAACCAGTAGAAGTAACATCTGTTGTCAAGAGAGATCTCAGGTGGTGGATTACTACTCTGCAGAGTCCAATAATTCGGAGCAGCCTGCATTGTCAGTTAATTCAACATTTTTTGACAACAGATGCAGCGGATTACGGGTGGGGGGCACAATTGGACGACCAGTTCATATCAGGAGGATGGACGCGAGCCCAACGTCACTGGCATTCCAATCGGAAAGAGATGTTTGCCTTAATAGCAGCCGTAAAACATTTTCGAAATCGGCTTCATGGTCGTCATTTGAATTTCCAATCGGACAATCGAACAGTGATATCTTATGTTCGAAGAGAAGGAGGAACACGATCAACAGCGTTGCTCCATATGACTTATCAACTCTTGGATTTGATAGACAAAGAAGAAATTTTATTAACAGCAGAGTACATTCCCGGGAAATTCAACAATATTGCAGACAGCTTATCCCGCGGGAAAAGGATTTCGGAATGGCATCTTTTACGACCCGCTCTCGTCAATATATTCCGAAAGTTTGGGATTCCCCAAATAGATCTCTTTGCAAGCAAGGAAACGAGAGTTGTGGAGCAATATGTTACCAAAGATTGTCTGGACTCTTCAGCACAATTTTGCAATGCATTCAGTCGTCAGTGGCAATACCAGCTGGCATGGGTGTTCCCACCACCAAGCTTAATACCTCGAGTTCTGCATCACTTAAACGCTGCTCGAGGAACATTTCTTTTAGTAGCCCCAATGTGGAAGAAGGCTTATTGGCTACCAGATCTCCGTCGACGAGCGCTGGCCAGACCAATGAAAATAACCAAGCTGGACCAAGTGCTAATAGATCAGATAACCGGCCTCCCACCACCTCACGTTCAGAACATGGATCTTTACGTCTGGAAGATAGCAGCTGGGGCGAGGTAACTAAAGCTTGGTCAGAAGCCGAAAAATCGCTTCTTAGAGCTGGCTGGAGAGAATCAACATTAAAAACCTATGGACCAGCATGGTCCCGATGGATGAAATGGTGTAAAAATAATAGTTTTGATTGCAACTTTCCTTGTGATGTTAGTCTCTCGAGATTCTTAGCATATCTTCACCTTGAAGAGAGATTAGCTTATCCGACTATATTGTTGCATAAGTCAGTAGTTTTATCTTTTGGGCAAGTCAAACACAATGAAAATTTGAATTCTAACTTTCTCGTTCGACATATTCTTAAAGCTATCTCTCTTCAAAGTCCAAAGTTACAGAGATCACCCATTTGGGACCCAAGTGACCTACTTGCCTGGCTGGAGCTGAATCCCCCGAACAATATCAGTTTGTTTGAAGCTTCCCGCCGCTGTGCATGTCTTTTGTTATTAGCATCCGGTAGACGCGTTCACGATCTTACTTTACTCAGAATATCTAATGACTGTTACTTTGACAATGACAGTCATATTATCCTTTATCCTGTATTTGGGTCAAAAACAGACACAGCTACATACAGGCAATCAGGTTGGAAGCTCTCTTGTCATAGCAATGAGAATATATGCCCAGTTAGATGGTTAAGAAAAGTAGTTGAGTTAGGCAAGACGAGGCGTACAGCCGAATGTAATGAGTCCTTGTTTGTGTCGATTAGAGGTGTCATGCAAAGTGCGTCGCGTACTGTTATTGGTAACTGGATTAAAACTGTTTTGAAAGACGCAGGCATTACGGCTTCTCCAGGAAGTTTGCGTTCGGCTGTAGCTTCTTTAAACTGGGTTAACAATTTTCCAATAGAAGAAATTATTACCCGTGGTAATTGGCAAAATAAAAATACATTTGCTAAATATTATTGTAAGCAAATCATAAGCAGAGCTAAAAGTCAATGTGTAGAGAGTTTTTCGAATAATTTTGAGCCAGTTTGATTTATTTCGCTAATTGTGGCTAAAAAGTAGAGTATAATAGAATCATTTATATTATTGCTGATTTATTGTGATTCTGATTTATAATAAAACGGTGTTACTCATGTGTCTTTTTTGTTCTTGCAGCCTTTGTGCATCTAATTTAGTTTTCTTCCTCACATAGCGTCATTGTGGTCACCAGGAGTTATAAACACGTCTCTCACAGATGCTGTGCATCGTCACATCCCAAATAATAGTACAAGTTTTACAAAACAATAAAACTTGTATTATTAAGGAGAGACGATGCACAGCATCCATTCAAGTTCTCCTGGTGAGAGACTTCTATGAGGTAAGAACGTTCGCCTTTGGCGCCCTGCCACCTGGGACCACGTGATTTTAAGCAAGGCGTTGATTGGTCGAAAATATCAAGAGGAAGTCGTAAGTGATTGGCTAATAAAAGGGAAGTATACAGCGCCCTCTCACAGATGCTGTGCATCGTCTCTCCTTAATAATACAAGTTTTATTGTTTTGTAAAACTTGTACTATTGTATCTCTCTGTCTCTGTTTGTTTAACTGTTATCTGTCTGTCTGTTTGTTCAAACGATAGTACGATTTTAGTAGATTCACGATGTTCAGTAAAAATCTGTAATAATTTAATGCTGAATAAAATATTTTGAATTTGAATATGAATTTGTGTATACTATATATCCCAGTTTCACTACCTCAGAATAGCTGAACAATGAGTACCCAATTTTATTTTATTTATTTAGGTACTGAAACAAAAAACAAATTAAAAAATACATCTACGTATTAAAAACTAGAAATATTATTTTAAATTTGCTGTCCAATTATTTCTGTACACAACATTCAAATAAAAACATATAATAATTAAGTAAACAAACTTAACCAAAAAGTGAATATTACAGCTGTACGAGTCTGTGCATTTAAAGTTACATAATAAATATTAAAAAAACAAAAAGAAAATAACATTTACATTTCATGTGGAAAAAAAACAAAAAAAGGTAAAGGAGAAGAAACAGAGAGAAAGCATATCCTTATTATCGAAAATGTATAGAACTATAATTTATTTAATTTTTCTTGAACGATAAAAAACTATTATTAAAAATGTCGTATTCATCATTTAAATTTTAAACTATTGTATGTTTTACACATTCTGTGTAAAGGGTTGTTTTCGGAACCGTTATTAGTTGCTGAAGGTATATTAAAAAGTTGTGGCGGACGAATCGAGTGAGTATGAAATTTAAATTCCAGTTTTTCTAATAATTTACTGTTGAAAAATATAACTCTTTTTTTGGTGGTCGTAACTGTGGGTTGTAAAATATTTTTAGCTACATTTGGTATTTTTTGGTATTTCGCCTTTTTAGTAGCTTTATTCGAACAATGGCATGAGCATGGTACACCGGTGTATAATCACTTTAGATCTCGTCTCTTAAGCCTTTTGCGTGCTTCAACGCAGTTAATATGGAGATACATATGTAATTTAGCTTGGTTTTTTAACGAAAAAGTTTTAAACTTTTTAAAATGAATTTTAAATAGGCTATAATCAGATTAAGCACTCTTTCAATTGTTTATTAACAAACTAGTTTTTAGATAAATAGAAATACAAATAGAATTAAACTTTTGTGTAGTATAGTTAGTATTAAGAGATATAGCATAATTCATTGTGTCACATTGCTTAAAAGGGTCCCGATGTCGATTCTCTCATGATACAATTAGCACGATATGTTTAGTTCTTGGAGAACTTATTAAGACGTTTGCTAAGCCAACATGATTTGTTGAACCAACGTTAGGTACATATAAAGATAATATTACTTTTTGTAAATAATAACCGACCTGAAAACTAGACCTGTAAGTTCCGCTTCAAATGTGAAGAGATTTTTTAGAAATAAAATGATTCATGCTTATCATTATTATTAAGAAAGCAATCGGTTAAATCACATTAATACATATTCCTATATATAAAGAGTAGGGTATGCATCGATTTGAATAAATATTGAAGAGAAAGCCTCTTCTCCGTAACCTCCGAATGTAAGAGAAAAAATAAAAACTAATAATATAAATAATAGGTACTATAGGTAGTGTATATACATGTTA